GTGAAGAGATGTTACATCCCTTTGCATTTTCTTTCGCATTTGCCACGGGGAGTGTTCTGAGGAATTGTTCGGATTAATCCCAGCCGCCAAATTTCACGAAAGCACATCGCCGCAAAACTCCCGATACCATTCACACCATCTGGATGATTGGCGGTCCACCACTGTGCAATTTAGAAGATGTTTTCTTCCTCACACGACTTCCTTGTGGAATCGATTACCATCAGCTATTTTTCCGGACCGATACGACTTAGGGACCTTCAAGAAAAGAGCCTACTCCTTTTTAAAAGGCCGGCAACGCATCTGCAACTACCCTGGGTTTGCAGTTATTCATGGGCAGCTGTAGTCACTTACCATCAGGTGAGCCGTATTCTCGTTTGCTCCCTCTCCTTAAAAAAAATGTTAATTTTATGTATTACATATTATATCCTTTCAACTACAACAAACAAGCGAGTAAAAAAGTCTAACACTTAGACCAAGTGTTAGACTTTTTTACTCGCTTATTTAATGAAGAAACAAAGCATTAAGCACTATGTCTAACTCATTCTATCTTATGTCAATGTGTACAGGATAAAAAAGGATAGCATTAAAACCCCACAGCTTACAAATTTTAGTAGGATTTTATATCTTCATCTGATGATTTCGTCTGTCCCTTGAGTCAGCCATCAGTGTGATTCACGCGCGCTAACATCGGAGTTGTTTATAATTATTTCGTACAAATTTTGATTGATTGTGTGGTAAAATATGTTAAAACAATGCCTGAGTAACTAACCTTCCCATTTGTAGCCTCATTTTGTAATTTATATCATTACATTAAATACATGTGAAATGGTTTTTAATTTGTATGAAGCAAACCGCTATCTTAGAAACTAACATGCAGGTTGCGTAAAGTCTACTTGAAATTTATATAAAATTTTAGTTTTTACTGTCAGTTTTGTGTTAAGATATGTGTAATTGTTCATCATTCAGTTTCAATACATCAAAATGAGGATAAAGTGCAATATTTTCAATATTTCAATGTAAATATGTAATAGATAATAATGGTGGCCATTTCTAAGACACCCACAGTTATGGATTCTAGTTCTATGTTTTGCCGGTGGCGAAAAAAGGAACTAAAGTTTGTCATATTGTATAAAGCCCAAATACGGTTGAATTGTTATATTGGTAAAGGAGCTACCACCCTCGAGCAGACAATCGGAGCTTTGTTTGACTCTACGATCAATTTGATGTTGTAGGAGAAACTGGATGTGGCATTTGGATGTGCCATGTGTATTAACACAAGACTTTGGATTTTTTTTAAACAATTTATTAAAAAAGAAAAGAAGAAAGTATAAGTATTAACATATTTTTTTAAATATTTTATATTAATATTTTTAATACCTATTTAATAGTTAAAATTTTTATTTGTTTTTTATTTTAATATAATAAAGTTTGTGGTATTTTAAGGTTACCTCAGAAACATAGTTTTTATAGCGGTTTTTTTAATGCACATTTTATTTATATGTACTTTGCGAAATTCATAAATCAAAAAGCACTAAAAAAAAGTAAATTTCATTTCAAAATTTGTTAAAAAATTTACTAAAAAGTCATTAAAAAATACAAAACCCTCCAAGTTTTATTGACTAATGACTAAACTAATGCCGCATTCAGTCCAAACTACAAGTACATTCTACATGCATGTAATTTGATTGTTGGGTACTTCTAAGCTTAATTTAATGCATTTTATGATAAAAAAAACTGTATAGCAGTCTATGACTTTACACATAAAATATTGTAAATGATAGATTTAAGGTTAAAATAAATAAAATTGAACTATTAAAAAACTTTGTTTCATTGAGAAATATGACAATTTTGACTTTACTCAACATTTACTTACACTAATTATTCTGGGACTTATTAAATTTATGTACCCATTTATAGGAAATTTGTACAATGTGTATTTGATATACCAGAATCAAGAAATTTGCGTTAAGACTGACTGCACCCAATCAGGTGTCCATTTAATTAAACAGCTCCGCAGTCAATGGAGTAGGGCGGTTAGTCTCCGCATTAGAAAGGATATATCATTGTACAAAAATAGAACCTACTAATGTTCCAAGCTAGTTTTAAATAAACATTCGAAACATATATTATCTTAGTAAATATTTTTAAAAAATATTACCTCATCTTCATGTTGTGGGTGGACGTCGTCCCAAAAAACATATTTCAGGCTTTCACCAGCGTAGCCTATTACACTTGCGGTGAATGTAATTTTAGAACCACGAACTGCGGGACCATTATTTAACAGTGCCACGTCGAGTACGCATATAACTAAAACAAAACAAATTACCAAGAACTAAATCATGACGGTAAATTTTAAGGGATGCGTAAATACCACGACAGTAATTGACAACTTACCAAATTTGAACATAAACATGAAATAAATAACAAACGGTAGGCTAGACATTTTGTTGATATAAATTATAAAACCTTACATAACCTTACAAGGAGTAGACAGTTGTTTAAACGAGCTTCAGACACTTATAAACACAATATTTGCCGATAAAAAGTGAAAATAAAATTTGCTTAAATTTTATTAGTTTATCAGTTTGGTTTTGGTTTTTTGCATCATCAAATAATCAAATTCGCACACAGAACAGACTATTAACATTAGACAATAGACATTAGACATAGGCTTGGGTAAAAAATATCGAGATATCGAAATTTTACAATAAAAATATCGATATACATCGTCGATATTATAAATCGCAATATATCGATATAACGATATTTATTTTAGAGTATCGAATTTGTAAAGGGTGCACTGGCGTGATAAAATGGTAGGAAACTCGAAAACCAAAAATTCGTTAAAACCGTTTATTTTAAATTACACAACGTAGGTACACGAACAAAGCATATGAGAGAGAGCGAAGGTACGTGTGTCGCGAGCGATCGTAAAGGCTGACTGACTGCGTCACCGTTCGATTTCTACCTTAAAATTTAATATTATATTTAAAACATATGAGATGATTGGGCCGTCATACCCGCCACCTTAAGCTAATACAAATTTGTATAACGATTTTTGAGCACGTCGCTAACAGAATTCATATCAATTTCGATGTATTTTAAAATATTGTATCGTGTTTTTCGTCGTTCAACCGTCAGTAAATATAATTTTGGACCTTATCTTTACATCATGCAAATAATGACGATATATCGATATTTATCACGCGATATATATCGTTACTGTTTAAAAATATCGATTCGATATATATCGATATATTTTTTTCCCTTACCCATCCTTACATAGACATATGTATCTACTAGGCATGCGCATAATATATCGATACATCAAAAGTCGATACTTTTACTTAAAGTAGTCGAAATTGTTAATCTTGACATATCAAAACCAATATTTATTTTCGAATATCAATTTAAGTATCAAATTAGATCTTTTTGTTTACGCGTAGCTCAGAATCTAATGTCATGCAAATGGATGCACATCTTTTATGCGCATTATCTGACTAACACTGAAAATGTCCAAGGTCTACATATTTTTTGTGTAGGTTTGTAGGCATGTAAGAGTTTCTACTCAAAGAATCTTTAAATAATAAAACACGATAGATTGCTTCTAGAAATAATAAGTGATATAAATATTTTTTTAGGTTCCTTGTAACTATTGCCTATCCTCTTCTTCTTCTTTTTTCCTTTGCCCTCTCCGGTTGTATGGATAATTTTCTTCAATCGTCGCACTTGGCAGACGGCTTGAAGATTATAGTGTAAAACGTCTCACGCTTTAGTTACAGCTCCCTGTCTTAGGTATTTTATGTATAACGTAAACGGACTATCTATCCAAAACCATATTATTTTTCTCGGATGTTGCCCATAATTGTCTTATATGATACCTACAGGACAAAATAGGATTAAGGTTCAAAATCGTTGCCTAGAAAGGAGTGGTGGGGAAGGAAGGAAAGCAGGTGGGGGAGGGGTAGACTCACCTTCCACCTTTTTTCCTCGCCTGATGTGCCAATTTTTTAAAATTAAAATGTTTATTGGTTGATTTCTGAGAACAATTGCTTTAATAGGGAGGGAGGGGGGCGTTCCCCCTCGCTAAACGGGGCTCCTATTTCTGAATGGATTATGAAAAAATAGCCACATAGGGGATAGAGGCGTCTGTTCACTCGCTTCGCTCGCTCACTGCACCGCCATCCCCTTCTAACCTAACCTGTCCGATTCATGGTGCCCCAAGTCCCAAGCTCGTTTCGCTCGCTCTTGCACTAAATAAAACACCGAAAATAAAAATTACTTTATTAAGTAAACATATTTTATTACTTTCGCCATTTCCAAAAACGTAAAATAGCAAGCATTTGGTGTCCACAGGGGTAGCGAAGTCGTCGAAAAACAGGAGGCAGATTGACATTCACGTAAACTCGGAAGCAACGGAATGATGCTAATGACGCGAGTCACGAAGTCGAGTATATCTGCCACTGTCAATGTTAACTTAAAATAAAGTAAGAATTTAGAGTAATTTAAATTCCGTTTCAGATAATAATTAGTGATTTATGAATATTTTTACAAAATGATTTTAAATACTTCGACGCAGCTCCGGCAGCTAAAATTACATGTGGGCGCTTGAAATAATCCCCTTGATTTTTATCATCATCTGTTTGCTGGGTTAATTTTTCGTTAGTCTCTTAAAATCTTAGCAATTCAACGTACTAGCGTTCTGATTTTTTTTTTAAGAATAATAAACATTTCGGCTTAGACTGTATGTTTGATGACTTATGCCTGCCTTAATTAGCGAATCGTATCGTAATCGTAAATCTATGGTAAAGTCCTACAAATACAAATTGTATTGAAAGAAAATAACACACTTGAAACTATAAACCTCATAATTTGTTTATAGCAAATTTCTATTACATACTTGTAACAAAACAGAATAATTATGTTTAATTATTGAAGTGGTTTCCGCAGAGTTCTGCTTATAATATTATTAAATATATATAATATTGGTAAATAGTAAAATGGCTACCGTTTTTGATAGCCCTTTCATCCGACAACGTCTACATCGTTTGCGGCATCGTGATTTTGACTTAGACGAAGATCAAAGATTTGGCCGATGTGATTGTACAAGTTATTCCTATTTCGTGCTGTCGATGGTTCTATTTTCTGTTGGTACTGTTATTACAGTACTAGCCTTAGGAGACACAGATGGCTATATATTAAGCAACTTAGGACACATGTGGCTGGTTGGACCTATATTTATTTGTTCTGGAATGATGGTTGCTGTTAAAAGTATGTTGTATTTACGTAGGAAGAGTGTTATACAAATGCTGCTCCACCAGCGTGCAATTATAAGGGTAAGTCATTCTCCTTCTCTTAATACATAAAATTTACATTAGTATTTAAATAAATGGCCTTCATAAAATCACAAGATTTAATTCCATAAGAACTGTTTATGACCTTATTTGAATTACTATCAAAAAGAAATGTATCTCAACAGTAATCCATGTTTAAATAGCCTTCACCTAGTAACCACATTCGTTATCAATGTATACAAATTTTTGAATTACAAGGTGTTTCAAATTTATATGCCATTACATGTTAGGTTTTTTTCATGATTTTCAAAAATTATATTCTTAAAGATTTAAGTGTATCACTCATAATGTTTATCTGTTGCCCTTTATGTCAATAACAGCTGGTTTAGCCAAATTGACTTTATATAATTGTTAATACCAATAGAAAACTATAAAAATTAATGGGAATAACTTAATTCATTGTTTAGCAGGCTGACTGTCACATAATATTATTGATCTCATTCATTATCATTAACAATAATTGTAGAAATTCAACTTGAGGAGCAAACTCAGCATGAAAATATTTAGCCCTGTAAGTGGCAAACTTCAAATATACTAACAGCATGTGTGCTGCCAATTCTTTTTCCTTGTGTGACTGTCTGTAGTACCTATGGTAAACAAGTACTTGTTAAAAGAACCATGTCTTTTAATAGAACTGGTTCCTATATGGATCTTATCTAGCATGCCTGCAGTCTGCATGATTAGTTCAATATTGAGCATGTTGATTATTAAATTGTTCACATACCTGTGCATGAATGTGTCCAAATGGAATTGGGTAGAATAGGTTCTGGCCCCATGGTACCCAATGCTGAACCAACTCCAAATGGCTTTTCAGCAGTGTCATTGCCTCTAAAACCATTGTGACCTTTGATACATTGCAAGGTCATGCTGTTAAATTTACTTACCTCATTTTAAATATTCATAGTATTTGTGTATTAGCCCTAAGTTTATTATATGGCTGTTCAGAGCTTGTAAAACCCTGCTATGGGTATTTGTATGGAGTAGTCCTTTACTTCCCAAGCAGTTATTGCTGTTGCTGCTGAAATTGTACCTATACATTCATCCAGACAATACTGTAGGTACCCATCAGTGAACATAGACACAATATGAATGTAGAGATTTTCTATGTTGACACATACTATTGAATCAAATATGAAATCATATATGAAATCAAATATAACACATCATTATCATAGAACAGTTCTTTAATTATCCCCTCATGTTCCTGACCAATTTGTTTTTACGATTCAAGTGTCAGGGGATGTTCGGGAGGTCGAGTGATACCTGTAGGTCCTAATGTAAACAATGATATCTTTTTAATTTTGTATGCCATCTATATATAAAACTTATATTCATTGATTTCTTATGAATTGAGATATTTAATTCTACTTTATAAATATTAAATTCTATTTTTATAATATTATCAATCTCATTTCAAAATGGTGTGACTTTGCCGATTTCTTGTACATAAAGTGTAAGGATTATGAAATTAAGCCATTATATAAAAAGGTATTTGTTTTACTTGCATAACTATACAACATTATATCAAAAAAAAAAAAAAACACACACCCTCAATACATTTTTTTCACACAACAAACTTTTTAATATCTACCACCTTTTACGCGGCAGAATGAAAACAGGTTAAAACAACCTAAAATGTTCCATTTGAAAACATTACCTTACACCCTTGTTTTTAATCTATGTTGTTCAAAAATTAAAACAGCGTTTTATAATTGAACAACATAGATTAAAGACAAGGTATGTTTAATTGTCAAATGGGCACATGAGATCGGCTGACACATGAGCATGCATAAGCTGTCAACCCCCTGCGGGCGTCATCATCATCATCACAGCTTTTCTCAAATCTACTGCTGAACAAAAGTCTTCCTCAAGGAAAACTATGAAGTTTGATCCTGAGTCACCTGCATCCATTGACGTCCTGCATATCTTACCAGGATGTCACTTCATATAGTGACATCTCTGTGGTGCAGTGGCTTAGCAATGAGTTGCACCGCTAAGGGCCGCAAGTATTCCAATCCCGCATGGATCCAGTATTTGTATGGCCTACAAATAATTGTTCTGGGTCTGGATGTTTGCCCTTGTGAAATCTATGTATGTAAACTGCCCCCACGGTACATGAGAACGTGGTAGAGCCATGCTGCAACTATATTAGTAGTATAGTTGTAGCACAAATGGGTTGGCTCTACCGGGGAAGGACCACGCTCTCACAAAATACCAGCGTAAAATAACGCTAAGCTTAACGCTGCTGTGTTTCGTATAGTGAGTGTAGAGAACCGGAGACCCTTTATACTGGAAATGAGGCATTCCATCATAGTCCACACGGGTGACAACGCATGTGCATTTTGATTTGTAATAGAGGATAGATGTAGATGTCTATGGGCCGCAGCAACCGCTTAACATCAGGTGGACTGTGTGCTCGATTGTTACCCTTATCCTATAAAAAAAATGAGAAAATTCTAGTGTGGAGGTAACTTTTTTGAAAATGACAAATGAGGAATGAGAAATTTAGTAGGGGGTCGCACTACACATAGCATACCGGTACAAGATTACCACTAGAGAATAAAAATAAAATAATAAAGTTATTTTTGTGAACATCAGCAATTATTGGCCCATGCTGCCATGACATGACAGTACGCAAATTTACATACATAAGCATGATACATGATGCTCAAGTCCAAGGGTGAAAATCAAGAGATGTTTTAATTATTTATGTTTGATAAAGGGCTGTGGTTTCACAGGAACTAAGCTTCAATGGTTGAACATTGGACAGGAAATCTCCATGTCTAAGAAATTCACTCTTCTAAGGACATGTGATACAAATATGTCCACCTTATTTTTCTTTTTATCTTTTTGAATGACACTTTTTGTATGAATTTTACCTAGTTTAATTGACTTATTTTCATATTGACGATGTTTTAAGCTTTAGCAGCACCAGTAGTCAAGGTAGGACTGACACACAACAACTTCAAATACATATAAACTTTAAAAAACGTAAAAAAATTGGCTTCAAAAATTAAAATGAATAAAATAATTTCCACATACTAGCTTCTAAAGTTGGTGCTTAGTTATAGTGTATTGTAGAATTAAAGACAAGAAAATTTATTTGCAGGATATGGCAGCTGTACAAGCAGAACAGGCATTTGGTGGTCAGGTACCTAGAACTGCTTCTAGTGCAACTTTGCCTCCATCCTATGATGCTTTAATAACAAATGCTGCATCAAGTAAGCCCCAAGCATCTAGTTCTGAACCACCCCCACCCACATATGACGAAGCTATGTACCTTATTGGTGATGAAAAATTTAGAATGGAAATTAAGATAGATAACAGTGCAAAACAAGAGACCAGTAACCAAACCTCAAGTTCCAATTCTGAAAACATCAAACCATAAATGGGAAACTTATTTTTTTGTTATTTATATATATAGTTGTGTAAGTAATACTTAATTCTTCCTTTGTACTTATAAATTACTTATAGTCTGCTACGTGTTAATTCATAGTATTCTCAGATGTGCCTAAATATTGACTTATTGGCAATATTGTTATTAAGATGCCTTTAAAAATTAAATTTAAGGAAAAAGTTTAAGATGAACTGTAAATTTTAGATTTACTCTTTTCTAGATTTCCTGAGGCAAGATTTTTTTACAGATTTTATTTAAATCCTATGTGATGTATTAAAAGTAAGAACATAATTAGTAGTTAATATTTTATTTTTATATAAGTACAACTTTAAGGTGGAAGCTCCAAGGTGGCCCGCGAAATTCAAATTTTCTTGCGTTTTTTGGAATTTGCAGGTCAGGGTTAGGTTGTATATTTAACAAAATATGATTCGCAACCGTAGCGATTATGTGTTTACAGAATTATTATCATTTGAATTTCGCGGGCCACCCTGGAGCTTCCACCTTAATAAAAAAATAACTGGATTATGAAGAAATTTTAAATTAATTTTGCTTGCCTTTGGTAAAAATAGGGATGATATACTATTCTGATTTATTGTCAAAGATAAAAGTGCCTAATCCTTTATGCTTAAATGATATTATATTTAAAAGGAAATTAATTTAAAAAAAAACAATTGTGATTGTTTATATGAAGTAGGCAATTTATTAATTCAGGACAGCCTATCAAAAGTCTATAGCTGAACATAGGCCTCCCTCATAGCTTGCTTCAATAGGGGGCACTGTAACAAAGTTACCACACTTGACAGGTGGTTTGGGCAAGTGGGTTTTTTATCATGTTTGATGGTTATCAGAACAATACTACTGCCCATCTCCTGTTTCTTTCTATCATCTCTTACAACACCTTCAGGCTTGATAAAGGGGAAGTGGTTATCTTAGGCTACCACTACACAGCGCAATAGAAGTAGACAATGTTTTCGGCTAAATGCTTACCACTGGAATATATTATGTCCACAAAATACACTGTATACAAATTTCCATAATTTTATCTACTTGTCTAATATTTATGTACTTGATTTCTAAGTTAAGTTACTATTTAATTTACCGAGGATTCTGATCAACGCACCCCATTGCCAGTGTAAATATGTACTTTTTCATTTTCTTTATTCCAGTACAAATAAAGCCGAGACTTTATAAGAATACAATAATAGAGAATTTGTTTTCTGTTTAACTAACTTTAAAACAGAGGGGTTAGGAGTTATCAATTTCTCTACACACTGGTTTTATTTTATTTTATTTTTTGTCGAAAGAGATGTGATATAGAGATATGGTAAACATCAGTCCTGTATAAATTTCAACCAGATTGTAAAAGTTTTATATTTTATAAAATAATGCAGTCACTGTGATTTTTAAAAAGCTGTTTATATAATTCTTTTAGTACCAGCTGGAACAAATACTGGCTTTAAATAAATAATATTATATTTTTTACATTGCTGGGAATAGGATGAATAAATAAAAGAGCATATAATATGCATAAGCAAATAACTTTTGTCGTAAATATTTTTAACATGTTTAACTTTTTGTAAGAGTTAGCAACAGGCATATGAAACATTGAAAGAACTTAATTATTGAGGTTAGGGAAAGGTTGTTTAGGTTACATAATATTGTTGAATGGGTGATTATGTTAGTACTATTAATTCTTCATCTGATATTCTTGATCATTCTAGCTTTAAAAGACCAATGATTGTTAGGGGAGAATTAAAAAAACACTACATCAGCCTCATCAGAAGGTAATATCAAATTCTATGGTTTTAGCAAATAAAGCAATATATTATGTGACTAGGTTTTTATAAGGTGGTAATGATCCAATATCTGTATTACAGTTAAAATAGACAGCTTTGAATCATAAGTACTTGTGTTTAATATGCACATGATATATTATATTTTTTGTTATACACTAGCGAGCCACCCTGGCTTTGCACTGGTGATTTCTGGATCTCAACAACAATGCCACCTACCAAGTCCTATTGTGAATCTGAACCATCCAGAATTATCAAAATTGATCAGCCATTTTTAAGTTTTTGCAAGACTATTGATCTCTATATACATAAATATAGATTAAATATATATTTATGTACATATTCTAAATAACAAAATGATACAATGCAGAATAGTATTCCTATAGATTTATAGGAATATTATTTTGAAAAATAACGTGTTTTGCATTTCATTTAATGTAACTTATATATTACATTCATGTAATCTATTTAATTATAATCTTTTAACTTAAAAAATTATGCTTTATATATTAAGGCATTTTGGCCTCAACCTCGAATTGATAAGTGGTCTGATATTGCACATGTTGTGAAGACTGAAGCATTTACAATTGTTGGCAATTAATAAAAAGAACAATTATATTTTATAGAATAGTTGTAATATTGATCTGATAAAATGTTACTTCAGCAAGAAGATTACATTTTTTATTTATCCAAGTGTTTTAATAAAACTGCATAAACAATTTGCTTTCTTTATGTATATAATTATTTTTTCATTTTGATGTCAAAATTAATAACAAATTACTAGAAATTTATATATTTATGAGGCTGTCTCTTAATATATTTGCACATTACAACATTATACAATGTAGGGTTAAAAAAAGAGAAATGAAATTCAGTGATACAAGCATTGATTTTATTTTAATTGTGAAAATTAATTTCCGTCAAGATCTTGGAAGTGACCAAATTTGTTTGAATTACTGCATTGCATTTATCTAGTCATATTGTGAAGAGTTTCCTGTCTCCCTAACTCTTAAATTACATATAATTTGTTTGATTATTAAATGTGTTTTATTACAAATACATGCTTACATCATTTTAAACACATTGATGATAAATTACAATATACATCTCAACTTTTTAACTAATTCCGTAAGTGTAAGAACATTATGTGAGGTTGTAGTTTTTGGACTTACAATCTGGATTATAACCCTGCTTATTTGGGTTCTTAAATATTTCTGCCACCAAGCAGCACTACAATCATTGCTTGTGTTCTTTTTTGCAGAGCATGCATTATTTAAGGCTCTGTGACATTTCACCTTACTTCACAGGAATAACAATGTGCCTGCCATTTTTGTAAGTTTTCTGCTTGTATAAAGCCACTTAGCATATCACATAGACAGTTAGCTTACTTGCCATATTAATACAATAAATGTTATGTTAACCTCCCAAAATATTTGGCTCTATAGCAATTGTCTCTCAACTGAGGCCATTGAACTATAAAAATATCAGCAAAGTACTGAAGAATCTTTCCTGATAATGATAATGTTCTCACTCTACACAAACTTTCTATGTATATAATTCTACTATCCAACAGAAATAAACATCTTAATAAAAAAGCAACAGCACATACTGGAATACAAGTACCTGGGCCATTACATAAAATAACATTAGGCGCGAATTTGTATACAATTGGTATAGTACTCAATGTGGCATAAATTGTAGTAAAAATCGATGAAGAATATGTTTGCTTAACATTTCTACTTCTAGGTATTCTGCATAATGTATAACTTGTCGACCCATTTTCCATATTATGTATTTTAACTTCACTGCTGGTATCACTATCAGCCAAAATATACAAACGGGGCCCGAACTTTCTAGTATTCAAATTAGACATAAGCCTGAGTATTTCACTTGTATGACCACCCGATCCAATACAAATTATAGTTTTAAACGATGATGCTTGTATTGATAAGGCACATTCGGACGTCACTACTTTAACTAAAAGATATAAAATCCTCAGAAGAAATGCTATTAGTATAATAATAAATATGGCATATATACCCATGATATAAAAGTTATATCATTAACTTCAAACTGTATATTTATATACTTAAACAGATCAAGCTCTTAGAATACGAGCAGAATAAGAACACGGCTATCAGAGTATAGCACAGAACACTACTAATACCTGGACATTGAGATATAATGGACTACGTACTAGAGAAGCTATTCCGAACAAAAACTGTGCACTACTCTATGTCTTCGCGCATGCGCGGTAAATAGTACAGTCGCGCATGCGCGGTTTTTGTCATCATAGATTATATACGTAGGTAGAATGATCAGTATGTAATAAGTAAATGTTTATTTAGATTGTATTGTAAATTGTATCGAGTACAATTTTTTAAGTTGTTATTTTTATTGCATAATGTGTTAATATAATGTAACATAATATTATGTCAGAATTCATCATCATCATTACAGCCCTTCACAAGTCCACTGCTGAACATAGGCCCCAAAGAATGCCACAAAGCACGGTCCTGAGCCACCTGCATCCATCGACTTCCTGCATATCTTACCAGGTCGTCACTCCATCTAGTGGGGGGACGCCCTACACTTCGCCTGCCGGTACTAGGCTGCCACTCGAGAACCTTTCTTCCCCATCGGTTGTCGGTTCTTCGAGCTATATGGCCGGCCCATTGCCACTTCAGCTTACTAATCCGTTGGGCTATGTTGGTCACTCTAGTTCTACTGCGGATATCCTCATTTCTGAGTTTATCACGCAGAGAAACTCCGAGCATAGCCCTCTCCATAGCTCGCTGAGCGACCTTGAGCTTCCTCATCCGGCCAGCAGTGAAGGACCACATCTCAGTTCCGTATGTCATCACTGGCAACACGCACTGGGTGTACAGTCTCGATTTCAAGTTTTGAGGTATACCTGACGAGAAGATGTGCCGTAATTTCCCGAACGCTGCCCAACCGAGTTGAATCCGTCGATTGACCTCTCGGTCGAAGTTGGACTTACCTAGTCGGACTATTTGTCCCAGGTAAACATACTCGTCAACAACTTCGAGCTTAGTGTTCCCAACAACTACCGGCATAGGTGTGACATGGACATTAAACATGATCTTTGTTTTGTCCATGTTCATCTTAAGACCTATCCGTTGGGAAACACTTGAGGTCATTGAGCATAGTGCTTAGGTCCTCCAGCGATTCTGCCATAAGGACTATATCGTCGGCAAATCGAAGGTGAGTGATGTACTCGCCATTGATGTTGATACCGTATCCTTTCCAGTCCAGAAGCTTGAAAACATCTTCCAATGCAGCGGTAAAGAGTTTCGGGGATATGACGTCACCCTGTCTTACACCTCTCTGCAATTGGATAGGTTTCGTACTCTGGTTCTGTACTCGGATAGCCATCGTAGCCCTACTGTACAAGCACTTCAACACTTCGATATACCGACAGTCAACTTGGCATCGCTGAAGGGACTGCAGCACCGCCCAAATTTCGACGGAATCAAAGGCTTTCTCATAGTCCACATACGCCAGACATAGTGGCAAATTGTACTCCTCGGACTTCTGTACAATTTGCCGAAGGGTATGTATGTGGTCTATGGTGCTAAAGCCTTTTCGGAAACCGGCTTGTTCGGGAGGCTGGAAGTCGTCAAGTCTGCGCGCGAGACGATTCGTAATGACTCTCGAAAACAGCACGTAGACGCGGCTCAGACACAGACTTACATTTTAATTATATTTTATTTAAAACTTTAAAAGGTAAATATGTAGAATATAAAAATATGCATTTATTTTCAAAGATCATTATTATTACATTTCTAGCATTCTCTAACGTAATATACGCAGCTGGTGAATAATAGTGTAAAATCAATGCGAATTTACGTAAAGGTGCATGCAGTGTATAATTAATAATGCGTGCTCTGTTTATTATTTTTCGTTAAAGATTTATGTTACTCCATAACTTCTGCTTTACCCATTAAATCAATCTCAGCATTTAAGTTGAGACCGAATTTATGTTTCAAATTTTCTACAATTGATTTGTAAGAAGCATATTTTTTCTTTAGATAAATATTTTGTCTTAAATTTCTCAGTAAGTTTCTTTCTAGCTGCAGATTCCTTGCTATTAAATACAAACACAATATTACAACGTGCTTATATTTTATTATTTTTATAATAACCTAGAATTATTGATACCGTTATTAAAGTAGAACTATATTTAAAAGCTTAGGCTTCGTATACATCACTCAAACTTAGCTTAGGAGACATCATTTGAGTAATTTATTTTTAACTACAATTTTGCTCGGACTATCTAAAATTGAATTTGTACTGCTTATTGATTCAGACAACGGTTCTGATACTTCCTGTTCACCACATTTTGTTGGCTGAAAAAAAGATACTAGTTATTTGGGAAGCCTGCAAAAATTCTAGTGTTACAGTATTAAAAAACCGTCATATACTAGAATGACTCGCGCGCCGAGGTTTCCGTCTCTCTTAAGTCCCGTAAATATACTGAACATTACAAAACATTCGTTCGTCGTCTAATCAAAAAATAAAACAAAAATCTCAGCAATGTTATATAATTATATAATTACATTGTCGCATGGTAGGTACTGCTTATTTCTTGAAGTACACTCTGTTTTTGCGGTTTATTTGTCATTTTTTTTGAACTGCACGGAAAATGTGCGTGAATAATCTGACGATTCTTCGCTGCAATTCTTCTGAACAAATTTGATCCATGATTATTTTGTTTCATGACACAGCCGAGGAAAACATTAAATAAAAATAATAATAAAAAATATTAATTTTAATGCATTAACATTTCCTACAGTGATTATATATAAATATTTTACTGTTCATAATTACTTAACATTAAACGTCGATAGTGTCAAGTCTGCGCATAAAAATGTTTTACTCTTTGACATTCACGTATACGTTGCAAATAATAAAATATAATTAAATTAAGCGTGTTTTAAAGATAATAATAAGTTTAAATTACTGGTGAAAATTCACTCCTTGACTTTTCCTTATATTTCTCGAGTAGTTTGAACAGTATCTCAATGCACACGAAGGCATATTAATTTAGAAATAATTCTTCACTCTAACTGCTCACGTTGCAACAACCGCTTGACACAGACTAAGTGAGTTTGAGAGCGCGCACTCTAACTCGTGTTACAAACAATCGAGTTGAGGCGTCTTCTCTAGTACGTAGTACATTATATCTCAATGTACCTGGAGTATAGTAACTGTCCTATACAGGAAAAGAGAGCCCACTCATGCGAAATCTGTCAACCGAGGAGTGCTAGCGCCGTCTGGTGTTCTTTCGCCACAATATTGTGAGAATGTGTGCGTGAGTGCGTATACACATACACCTCTGTTCATGATCATTCATTACGCTTTATGTACTAGGATTAATTATCAACAACCAACTGTGAATTAAACATTTGAAACATTTTTTAAAGATAACTGAATAGTAACTAAATGCTTCAAATGTTTAATTTAACAGTCTGTTGTTAATAATTAATCCTAACACAAAGTGTGATTCATAATTTGTAAATAGGAATTAACTATGATATTATTTAACATGAATGAAATAAAACACAAATAATTGGTACATTTGTGGCGGCGCTGTCGTCGCGCCACAAGCGAAACACATCGAAAGCTTAAATCGCGCTATCAAAGTTATTATTCTATATTTTCATTAAGTTCAAAAATATATTATTCTATATTTTTGAACTTAATGAAAATAAAGGAGATAGATAAAGATTTAACATAGTTTTGACAATACAACAAATAAAACTAATATTTTTATTCAAATGTTTATATCATTAATAGGTTAATAACACAGCTAGTGTCTATAAAAATAGTAAATTTTATTACTTTTATAAATGAATGAGTTTATTATAATAAATGAATCATAATTAACTTTAACATTATAAAATGTTAAGCTAATACCATAACAGTAAACTTAAACGGCTATGAATCAATCCAAAGTTGTAACCACTCTTGGCAAGTGGGTTGGCAACTGCAGTTATTAGGAAGATCAGTCCACCTGCTGATGTGTTTCCCTCTGTCGCCTCTTACGATGACACACACGGGATGATAATATGGGGTTGTGGATATTCTGAGACCGTCACTACACGGTAATCTAATATTTTTTTACAATAAATGATTCGTAAACACAGCTTTATTATAACAAAATATTAAACTAATCTCTTTAACAATAAATTTTCACAAACAAAATATGAAAATAACATTTTTTACAATAAATAATTCATAAACACAGCTTTGATATAACAAAATATTAAACTGACAAAATATTAAATGCCTTGGCATATGGTCTGACATAACTGGTTACTTCGCCTACGCGGATTCCAGATGTGGAGGATCATACACCTTCCCTGTTGGACCTTCTGCTGACTTCTCATCCGGACGGATATTAGGTTTCCGTCAATGCCCTTCTCGGCTCTTCGCACCGATGATTGGCGGTTCACAATTGTGTGATTTAGAAGATGTTTTCTTCCTTGCACAACTTCCTTGTGGAATCGATTACCACCAGCGATTTTTCAGGACCGATACGACTTAGGGACCTTCAAGAAAACAGCCTACTCCTTTTTAAAAAGCCGGCAACGCATCTGCAATTTCCCTGGTGTTGCAGTTGTTCATGGGCGGCGGTAGTCACTTACCATCAGGTGAGCCGCATGCTCGTTTGCCCCCTCTCCTATAAAAAAAAACAACTAACGTCTCTAACAATAAATTTTCACAAGACAAAATATGGAAATAACATTTTTTACAATAAATGATTCATAAACACAACTTTGGTAGTACAAAATAAGAAATATTTTTATAACCATGCCCCCTCTATTGTATATATAAAAATGGTCATCTATAAAATATAACTATATTAAAATGAATAATATACGTGATCAGATAATCAATATATTGATCTTTCTAAAGGTCTAGACATAGGCCGTTATTCTTTATTAATTAATACCTTCCCGCTTGGAAAAGGCTTAAAATATTTATATTAAAATACCAGATACAAGGATTTCGCTCACT